CCCCGGCGTGAGTACGGGAGTGGGGACCGGGCCCTGCTTCGGCCGCGCCTCTGCGTGGGCAGCGCTTGCGGGACTATACCTGTATGAGGCTGAACGGGGTGGAGGGGGACCGGTTACCTAGCCCGGAGCCGCCCCCGGGCCGAGCACACTGCTCCCGGCCCAGCAGCCTCTGCTCTGGCCCTGGCCGGAGCCGTGCCGCGTTTGGGGAGGATGGCGTGATCCCCACCCCCTGGAGGGGTGTCACAGGGGAGCCCTCTCCCTGCTTCCTGGAGGGCAGCCGGGGCAGGGGGGACCTCGCTTCAGGGATCCCACCCCACTCAACGCTTCCCTTTGCCCTGCAGCCTGGAGCAGCTGATCTTGCCCGTGGCCTTCCCAGCCAACAGCAGCCTGGACCCATGTGCAAAAGAGACCGTGCTGAATGCCATCAAGGAGAGCAGGAAGAGGGCTGTGGAGGAGGAGGAGGAGGAGGATGACCAGGCTTTTGGGAATGACCAGGAGAGCAAGAGAAGGTAACATGCCAGCAGCCCGGGTTGCTGCCGGTGTGGTGGGAAGGTTGTCAATGGGGCTAGCATTGCAGTGGTGACAAATGGGATGTGTCCCAGAGTGTGCCGGGCCCGGCGTGACCAGGAGTCTGGGTTGGAAAAGCGCTGCGGGAAGTGAACCAGAGAGAGGAAGCACAGCCCATCACCCGGCCTCTGGGCTGTGTTGGAAAGTTCTCTGAGATTTTGTTTTCTTCTTGAGATCAAAAGGACGTGGCTTAAGTTTTTGCCTGGGCAAGCTCATGGGTCAAGTGTGTTCCCCTGCATTGCTGGGAGAGGCTGAGATGTGGTTTGGGGAAGCCTGGCAGGGCTCCCTGGTAGGGAAGCAGCTTCTGTCCTCATGAGGGTTCCTGTCATTGCTGGGGAAACATGGCAGGAAATGCTGGAATCTGCTGTGGGCTCACGGGCTCTATCCTTCCATCAGCCCCAGGCTTCCAGGAGAGATGGGATCCCCAAGTCCTACAGCCTCAGGTGGAAGCATTGCGCTTTAAAAGATCCGCGTGCTTCCTTCGTGTGCTGTGGCTAGCAAAAAGAGGTAAAAACCCAAGGGTAAACAAAAGAGACTATCTTCTGCTTTTGTTAGCCATGGTCAGCAATTTCCAGCTCTGAGCTCAAAGAAATGAGGGTGCAATGTCTTTGCCAGCGCTTTAGGAAGGACATGGCATAAATCCTGGGTGCTAAGGTCTGCTGGAACCTTGCTAACTGCCTGGGCACAGCACTGCCTCACTGTTCTCCCCCCCTGTTTTTCATCCTTCCCACTTGTGTACATGGAGGCCGTTTGCCTCATGCCCCTCTGCCCCTCACGTGCCGGGGCTGCCTGCCTGCGCCTGTGCAGGGGAGCTGAGAGACCACAGAGGAGCGGTTTGGGCAGGGCCCAGGCGCTTTGCCCTGCGCTGGGGCTGCTGCTAGGGATGGCCCTGAGAGCACAGGCGGTTTGCAGGGAGCCACTGGCTGCCTTCCTGCTGTGGCAGGGCATGCAGTCCTCTCCTCTGTCACTGGATTTCCCTCTGCCTTTGAACCTCAGCTTGGTGAATCTGAGCCCCGCAAGAGCTGAGCAGGATGACAATGGGATGGGTGCATGGGCAGGATCAGCTTGGGCTTTTTTCTTCCTTTTTTTGTTTTTTAACGTGTCGATACTCAGCTCTGCCAGGAAAGCCAACTTTGAAGGCATTAAAGCCTGGCAAGCACGAAGAATGCTTGTAGGCAGAAAATCCTGCGACCTTTGAGGGCAGAATGGAGCCTGCATCAGCTGGAGAGCGCTGGATCGCCGGTGTGGTGGGGTCAGCGTGCCTGAGCTCAAGCGAAGTGCTCAGGCTAAGGGACAGGGCAGCTCGTGCACCTCCAGCTCTGCTTCCCAGCAGGGTTTGCTTTATGGCTCTCAGACTTCATGTCTTCACTGAATCATTGTGGGAAGGGGGATTTGGATTCCAACTCAAACAGTCCAGGGCACTGGCTAGGAAGAGGTAGGAGGTCTGAGTTTTGGAGCTCAGTTCCCTTCCAGAAATGAGCTGTTGAGATTCTCTGAAACGTTTTGGCTTAGAATAATGGATTTGAGCAAAGATTTTGTTACGTCAAAACTACTCTGCCCAGCAGGAGGCTAGTGGGGCTGCTGGTGCTTGGGAGGAGGCAGCTCAGGGTGAGAGCCAGTGAGGACAGGACCAGGTGGAGAGAGAATCCGCAGCAGGACGTGGATGGGGAAAACCTCTGTCCTTGGGTATTGGGTGGCAAGAAAAAAGCAAGCGTTATGCTTTCTCAGTGCTGAGCCTGCCTGGAAGGGGCCTTCTGCCGTGTCTGGGGGTCAGCCCCTGTCTCTGCTGCCTCCACACTGCCACAAGCTTCTGCCCTCTCTCCTGCAGGCGCCACGATAGCAGTGGAAGTGGGCAGTCGGCGTTTGAGCCGCTGGTAGCCAACGGTGCCCCCGCCTCTCTCATACCCAAGTAAGTGCCCGTCAGGCCAAAAGCAGCCACTATGGGCTGGGAGGGGGGGTCCGAAAGCCTGCGGGCTGTGGGAAAGGTGCTTGGCTTTTACTTACGGAGACAAGCTTCAGGGGAAAGCTGTGGCCATGCCTTCAGTCTGTCACCCTGCACACAGGCCGGTGGCTGTAAGGGCTCTGCCACTGCCAAGGCTGCTTTCCAAGCCCTGTGCTGTGAGAAAGAGCAGGGTTGCTTTCTTCCGCCCGCCCTGCTTTTAAAGGAGCTGTGGGCAAGAGTGGCGGGGACCTCATAAAATCTTCTGTAACTTCCTCTAGGCCTGGCTCTCTGAAGAGGAGCCTTGTCTCACACTGCCCAGATGACTGCTCAAACAAGAGGTCACGCACCTCTTCCATGAGCTCCCTAAACAATACGTATGCTGGCGGGATCCCTGGCTCCATCCGCAACGCCATCGCCAGCTCCTACAGCTCCAGCCGGGGCCTCTCCCAGGTAAGAAACACCCTGCCAAAGGCCGCGCCAGAACCCTGGGGGATCCTCAGGGATTGCACCACGTAACTCCACCCCTGGGCTCGTGTGAGTAGAGCAGTGCTGCAGGTGCCTGGCAGTGAGCACTGTGGGGAGTCTGCAGCGCAGCCAGGCAGTTCCATCTCCTCGTGGGTTAGGTGGGCTGCGGGGCCAGCAGCAGCAGGCAGCGACACTACTTGTCCTTCAGTGGATGCTGCTGCAGGGCTCCCCAGGCTGAGCTGTCCTGCTGCAGTGCTTGTTTTACACCAAAGCAAGAAGGAGGCTGTTTTTTCCCCCCTCCCTGCTCAGCCTTGGCCAGTCTGCTAGGGTGGATAGAGCCAGGTGAAAGGAAAAAAAAAAAAAACCAACAAAATAACTTTGCTGTGCTGCCACTTTTTCATCTGGAGCCGGCAAGTACTGGAGCCGTGCACTCCCTCTTTGACCCAGGTCCCCTCAGCAGCTGCTGAGCTATAATAAAATACTGCTCACGTCCTGGCTCAGGCTTGCAGACGTGGTGGTGGGATGTAGCCATGGCTAACGGAGCTCTGTGGTCTGTGGGGAAAGGTTTCTTCTCGCTGGTGTGAGTCTTGAGGTGGGATCTGTCCACTCCAAGCTCTTGGTGCGGAGGTGGCACCTCCTGCCAGAGCAGCCCCACGCACCTGAGGGTGTCTGCAGCAGCTGGGCAGACTCTGCCTGTGCTACACAAAGGCAGGAGTCAGCATCTGACCAGCAGCGTCCTCCCCGTCCTCTCAACCAGGCTGTAACGAGCCTGGAGGCCACTTGCTCCCAGAGTGGGTTCAGTTTGGGGTGGCCAGATCTTGTGCTCCACAGAATGTAGAGGGGAGTTAAGCAGTGCTGAAGCAAGAGAGGCTCTGGGCTTGCTAGCCACGGCCGCAGGAGAGGGGATTTAATCTGTGGGCGAGCAGGAGGATGGGAGGCTGTGCTCCCTGCCAACCCCTGTACTGAGTTACTGCTGGTCCCTCTCTGCATTCCAGCTGTGGAAGAGAAGTGGTGTGAGCGTGTCCCCACTGTCCAGCCCCGCGTCCTCCCGCTCCCAGACACCAGAGTGGCCTCTCAAGAAAACCAGGTAACTAGCCGCTTGCCCGGCAAGCGCCTGTTCATCTTTGCCAGCCAGGAAGAGAGCAGTTGCCCTCCTGGCCATCCTGGTGCCCAAGTTCTGCTCTCCGCTGGAGCTGGGACGGTCCAGGCCCCTTTCTGAGATGTGGTTGCTGGGTCATCCACCAATGTGGGAGCCCCCCTTGTGTCGACTGGCATCCCCACCACCTTGTTACCCTGTGGTCCCAGCAGCAGTGCTGAGCTGCACCATCCCTGCCCTGCTCCCAGGCCCAGTTAGAGGTTTAAGGGCTCAGATTGCCACAGAGGCGATGTTGCCTTGTGGCATTGGCGTGACCTGAAACAGTGGGAAGAGACAGGCCCCCATTTTTGCCATCTCCTCAAAATCAATTCATGGGAGCTACAGTATGGCTGTATTTTCGTGCCTGCCTCGGAGCGCGGGCCCTTGTTCTCCTCTCTCCTGGCTCAGAGAAGGGCCTTGCATCAGAACTAAAACCAATGCAACCGCCTGCCCTGGTGTCAGGGTGGGTCCAAGCCAGGGACCTGTGAGGGCCAGCAGCTCCTGTCCAGGAGCCCCAGCTGCCACCCTGAGGCTGACTTGTCCTGCGGAGGGTGCGGGGGCTTGGCGGCCTGACCGAGCTGGGGTCCCAGGGAGGGGAGCAGCTCCTCTGACGGAAGCCGCTTTCAGGCTGGTGCAGTGAGGGCAAGGCTGTTGCCCTGAGATCTGTTGTTTGGCAGAGGCCACACCAGGGATGCTGGTGGGAGTCCTCAGCGTGTTTGGTCTCATCCTGCTCCCTGGGGATAGGGCCGAGCCTGGGGTTGACCCTAACTGGCTCTCTCATGCTTGTGCAGGGAAGAGGAGTTGCATCGCTCCAACACTTCCACTCCGGTGAAATCGGACAAGGAGCTGCAGACAGAGAAAGGTGAGCGTAGGTGGGCTCCAGCTCTGGGCTGGGGTTAGATGGGCCACCGGCACAAGCAAGCAGTGGGACAGGAGGTAGCTGAGGTCTGCAGGTGGGATTGGCTTGAGGTGTCGCCTGGAAACCAGGAACATGCTGGTCCCGAGGCAGTGGTGCTTCTGCTGGCCTCAGTGCCTGCCCTAGAGGGATTTCCAGGTGATCAGCAAGGGGTGCGACAGTGTCAGTGTGCTAGCGGATGCCTGGGAGCTGGGTTGCAAGGGGGAACACCGGCTCCCAAGCCAGCACGGGTCCAGGTGTCAGCTTTAGGGCAATATCTGCTGTGGTACAAGTAGCACCTTGATCAAATTCCAGGCTGAGCTTATTCCAACTCTTCCTCAGCTAAAACGGAGAGGAAATCCTTTGTGCCGGTTGCAGATAGGGCCCCATGGCACAGCTTCTAGCTGTGGTTGACACAGCTTCTAGCTGTGGTTGACACAGCTTGCGTGGTTTGTGGTTCGGGTAGGTGGTGTGCAAGGACCATCCAGGGGGGTGGGAAGGGGCTGCTGCCCTGCGGGGCCCTAGCAGGCTCTCATAACAGACTGCCCCAGGATGTGCTGCAGCCAGCTGCCTTCCAGGGCATCGCAGCCTTATCCTTGGCTTAAAGCCATGCCCCTGGCTCTGCCCTCTGAGTTGGATCATCCAGAGGGGGCTCAGAAGGGACAGCCCCATTGGTACAAGCCAAGCGCCTCCTCTATCCAGAGCTGGTCCTGACTTGTCTCCTTCTATAGTGGTGGATACACCGGTGCGGAAGAAGCAGAATTCCCTGAGCCCACCGTCCGTGTCGGGGAGCAGTGGGAAGCGCAAGCGGAAGATCCAGTTGCTGTCGTCTCGCCGGGGGGACCAGCTGGCGCTGGTACGTCACTGTCTCGCAGCCCCTTTTGCCCTCCTCTGGCGATAGAATGTGCTCACTGCAATTTCTGCAGGGCTGGGGGGAGACTGACCTGCCTGCCCTCAGGAAGGAGGCCCCGTCCTTGGCCGAGTGGGAAGTGACGCTATCCCCAGCCCCAGTGTCTGGTGGGCTGTGCGTGATTGTGCTGCCTGCTGCCGGACCAGGTAATGGCCTGGGGAAGGCCTGCCGTGCCCTCAGCGCCAAGCCGGGGGCCAAAATGAATGGGGATTGGAGCTCCGCGGTAGCGTGCTGTGGCAGAACCACCTGCTTCACGGGTCTTGCGACGGCCAGCCTTCACCACACGTTCAGAGAGGCCCTGACTGCTTCCCTGAGAAGGAGCTAAGCTGCTGCTCTCTCTTGGCAGCCCCCACCACCTCAGCTGGGCTACTCCATCACGTCGGAGGATCTGGACGCGGAGAAGAAGGCGGCATTGCAGTGGTTCAACAAAGTCTTGGAGGATAAGGCTGGTAAGGGTGGACTGGGAACACGGAGGGGATGGCAAAGAGTAGAAACCCAGGGCCAGGGCTGGCAGGGCGGTGGGGGCGTCTGTGTAGCACAGGCTGGGGAAGCTCCTGGGCCAGTTCTGCCCAGTCCCCTCAAGTCTGGGGATGCTCTTGGTGCATCCAGACTCAGAAGAGCTTATGCCCCAGAGTCCCAGGGCGATGGGTGAGGTCCCCCAGGACCGGAGCTGTGGGATGTTCCCTACCTGCTGGGGAAGCTCTGCCAGGGGGCATTCCCCTACAGTGAGTAGCGGGTCCCGATTTCTTGCTCCTTCCCAGTAGATGCAGTCCCCAGCACCACTGCAGAGACTACGCCCGTGTCCAGGCCGCTGGCATTCACCGTGACCTCCCCAGGGCCTGTGCCTGCCTCAACAGCTCCTGCCCCAGCCAGCACCAACTCGCTCCTGGACAGCCTGAAGAAGATGCAGAGCAGCCAGGCAGTGCCCGTGCCAGCCGGTGAGGAAGATGAAGAGGAGGGTGGGCAGAGTGGGACATTGCAGAGCAAGGCAGGCACAGTGGGAGCTCTGCATTGCCTCTGTGGGAGACGGGTGACAAAACTCCCTGTTCAGATGCTCTGCTGGCAGCGGAGCCAGCAGGCAGGTCCTGGGGGGCAAGTCAGGGGCAACCGAGCCCAGGGCCCTGCTGGGAGCTGCGGTAAGCGTGGAGGCCTGTGTCTGTCTGGTACAGGCAGGTGCTGCGCTATGAGCCCTTGCAGCAGCAGGGTGGGTGCCTGGAAGAAGGGCTGTCTGTAGGTGACCCCCTGTCCCTAAATAACTCTCTCCCCCTTTTCAGATTCCACTGGAGCTGTAGTAGCATCCCAGCCGCCTTCATCAGCTGCACAGCCACCCGCTCCTGCTGTATCGCAGGAGTCGAGTTCTCTGCCTGCCACCTCT